ATTGTTACTTGACACAATTCCATCCTCTAAATTGTTTCCTGTCTCTTTCACACATATGTATGTGTTCTTAATGCTGCAACATTTGGAAAGATTTTGCTGGGCTACTTGAATCCACTGTCTGAGAAACAATTTGTTTGTTATGCACTTGTTACAGTTCCTTTTTTTTTTCCTAAACCTTTCAAATCAGTAGCTCCATAATGAGCATAAATGAAGACTGAGCTCTGGCTTTGAAAATACTTGGGATGCACCTAGCTTTGAATACAAAGCAAAATACAGAAATATATATAAATGAACAGTCCCACAGACTTATTGTGCAGACATATCAACATAGAGAAACTGAATCTTTTTGTCTCTTGGTGGATATGATTTGTTAAAACTCATGTATCATGCTAATTTTTGTTTGTTTGTTTGTTTTTGAGATTTTGTGCAGCATAGTCCTACTATTAACTAGGGTTAATTTCAGAGGTCTTTGGCTTTCTTAAGGAGTCTTTATTTTCTTTTTTTTTTTAATGAAAAAAAAGATACTTTAATGTTTTTAGTCACATTTATTCTTCCATGACCAGCATTTTTCATATCTTTTGGTCAGTTAAAGCATATGAATTTAGCTTATGTAAAATCAAAATGTCTTCCAGCTTCAGCAGCAGGCAGATTAACTTATTTTCTTTCAGAGAGACTCCTAAGAGCAGGACTTCAGCACAAAAGCTTTGGGGCTTTTTCAATCTCCATGGGGTTCCAGGCATCAGCTTCATCTGGCACAGCCCCTACGTGCCGCTTGTAAGCACATCTGTGTTTGTGGCAGAGTTGTTTTTCCTTGTCAGACTACTACTGCTGCTCACTTTGCTTACCGTTAGCTTGCTGAATACTGCTAGATTTGTCTTCTGTGGCAGTTGTCTGAAAGTATATTTGGGGAAGAATTTTCCATTGCAGGAAAATGGACATGATGGCAAGACAGTATAGTATAGTACCCCAAAATATATGTTTAAAATCTATGAATCAAAAAACTTCAAGTTTCAGTGACAACGGGGAGTGGGGAGGGGAATCCAAATCATGAAACCAGAGTTGCTGTTACTTAAAATAAAAATTTTGAGCCTCAGATGTGAGGTGATTCTGTGACCATGTTTAATATATGAGAATTTTTCAGATTTGATGCTAGGAAAATGCCAGTAAACCTGCTCAGCACTGACATGCTGTAATGATTATACTAATGTGACTATGCTTTTTTTCTTAATATGATTACAATTTAGTGTAAAGATTGGAGTTTGCTTTTATTTATTTTTTTAATGCTCCATTAGTAATTAATGGGAGATAAAAGAGAAAACAATATGCAGCAATACTTAACTGCAAGTTCTGGTGCAGCTGAGGCATACACATTACTGCATTGAGTATAATCTTCAATTTTATTTAAAAATGGCTGTTCACACCATGTAGAAATTCTGCCTGGGTGGCATACAATTAAATAAGGCATGTATTTACTTTCTCCTGATATATGTGTGTCAGTTTAAGTATCAGGATCTCAAAGATGCAAGTAAAGCTCTGTGACAGTGCATATGAAGTATTAGGTTAGCAGCTTTTACTTTTTTTGATTCCCTCTTTCCATTATTATGTAGATGATGGAAAGTAACACTGATGATTTAGGTGGCTTTCTAATGTGGTATGGCATTCCTGGTATTTGTGTGAAAATGAAAAGGTATCCCCTGAGGAAAGACAAACAAGGGGAGTGGGACAGGCATAGACCTGATTTTAGCAAGGGAATTTTATTGTTGTTATTATTATTATTGTTGTTGTTGTTATTATTATTAACAGATGGCATTCTAGGTGCTTCTTCCCCCAAAATAGTGGATTTAGGATCATGAAAGCACGTGACTACCTAAGATGGGAAAGAGCCAGGTCTGACTGTACATGGATATGGATAGGTGAGACCAAGGAAAGAGTTGGTGTCCCTAATGAAGGGTTTGGACACCAAGTATCACAAGTACTTGATGCATGATCTCAGGGGGGTCACAGTAAGGAGGAAATGTCAAACCTGTCAGTCAGCAAACAAAAGCCCAAACGTACGAGTTTCTTCATCCACATGGAAAGAACAGGGACTGAGGCTGTTGATAAATGAGGCTGTTGATAGCTGGGTCCTGTGACCTGGGCCATCATCCCTTGTATGTTTTCTTGCAAAAGTCCTGAGGCCAGGTGTTCCGTGATAGTGGTATGGTATTATCCAACATCAAGAACACAGTGCCAGAATTACCAATTCCTCTTTCCCTCTCTGCACAGGTTGCTACCTAGCTTGTGCCAGTAAAATTTCCTCTGAATCCTGTTGCAATTTCTGGCAGAACTGCTGCCGTCTTGGAGGGGCAGAGCATCTTGGCGTTTATCTGATGTGTAAGTCGCCTTAGTGCTCAGGAAGATGGTGTCCTTATGAGTCCCTGCAGTCTAGCAGGTTTTTCCAGTAATGCCTAATAGACACTCCTGGATGTGAGATATGAGCAAAATGGTGCCTGTCATTTCTTTAGCTATTGTTTTGAGCAAAAGAAAATAGCTTTGTAAGAGTGCTGGTTATTTTTTCTAGTAGCTTTGTGGTTATATATCCCGGAAGGCTCCACGTTACTCTGTTTCAGCACATTCTCAAGCTTATGAGAAAGGTAAATACGGGGTCTGTTCTCTGCCCTTTTGCTTAAGCTTTGCCCGTGAGTCTCATAGGGCTGAAGAGATGGATCACAGGAAAGGTGAGTGGGTGGCTCAATGACAGAGAATTTACGTGAGAAGTAGGCAAATGCGTGCCACATAAGGCGTGTCTTTACTTTTGGGGGAGAAAGGATAAAGTGAAAATTACGTGCAACCTCCTGCAGTCTGTTTCATATGTTAGTGTTGGTAGTGTTGCTGCAGTAAGTGCAGCTTCTGATTTGGAAATTTACTTGTCTGAAGAAATTTCCTACAAGGAATTTGCCTGTTTGCACTGCCCAGGTGGGAGAACAGGGTATAAAGTGCCACAGACAGTACGAAATGACTGAGGGCGATTCCACAAAATCCAGCATATATTTAACTAGTCAACACCTTCTGCTCCCCTCTGTTTCCCTTCAGTCTAAGGCTTAATTGTTGTTTTTCTTGTTTTGTTTTCTTCAGGTGCTCTTCCAAATGCTTAATAATCGTTGCTAATTTATCCTCTGCTCTGCTCTGTCCTGGCAGACTAGTGTCACTAGCTGTGTTTAAAAAATGTTTAAATTGAGCCCCATGCACCTTCTGTCTTTACCTTCCTAGCAATACTTTATTCAAATGCAGCATCATATATTTTTACATCGTCTCATATATTCTACATTAGTGGAAAGTCAAAGAGAGAGTTTGTTACTTTACTATGTATATATGTTCCACCACAACCCTCTGGATTGCTGGTGTATGTGTTCTTTTCTTTTTCTACCTGCTTGTTTTTGCTGGTTTTTGTTTGTTTGTCTTCAGGGTTCTCATACTTTCTTACCAGCTTGTCTTTTTCCCCTTGTCCTGGAGTATTTGTACCTTGTGTTTACTGAAATACTTTGTGTCAAATTTAGAGTCGAACAAATTAAGACCTTGTAGTTCAAGATAGTTCATCTCTGTAGCTGGCTGTACGTGTAAAGCAGTTCAGTACACTATACTATGTAGAAACCATTGGCACTGGCAGACTGTTCATCATCTGTCTGACAGCAGGTCAAGGCTGCTAGCTAAACAGCACTTGGCTACTTGAACTCAGGAATCTAATAATTTCCCCCTGTAAGACCAGCAGCCTGATTCAAATAATCCAGACTTTGTAATCTTTCTGATTGTCTGCTTTCTGGTGGACACAGTTATTATCCTGTAACTATTCATTTTCTTTAAATGAAGTCAAGGTAGTGTATACTTGAAGGTTACTTGGTCAAATCTAGAACACCTGTTAGCTTGAGTCAGGCTGCAATTATTTTAAAAATCTGAGCAATTGCTTCCTGGCTGTTGGAAAAAGATTCTGTCTTTGGGTAAGTCTGGAAATAAGCTTGCTTCATTCTTCATCTGCTTTAGGCTTTTAGCAGTTGCCAAATGGAATTTACCAGGAATCAAAAACTGGTTATTATATATATTGAACAAATATTTTTGGTAATATTTTTGGTAAGTCTTACAAATTTCTCTGTGGGGTCTGTTTCTTGTCTGCATTTCACAACTGCATTATTGCCTTCATTCTCACTTCCTATATTTCTGGACAACTTCTGTCTTAAAACTAACCACCGTGCCCTTTGAAAACACTGTGTGTGTGTTTTTTTTTTTTTTTGTTCTTGTTGTTTGGTTAGTTGTTTTTTTTTTTTCTTTTTTTTTTTTCAATAGAGTATGTGCTATTCATATTAGATCTCAAATGGGAGTACTGAGGTTCAGTTAATGGCCCTGTAGACTGCAACCTTAATTGCTTGGAGGCACCATTTGAGGAAACAGTGTACCCTGAGGACACTATGTCCTTAAAAGGGTAGGAAAATTGTGTCCTTAGCACGATATGGGTTCTGTCCAAGAAATGTATTCAGGTCTTGCTTAAATAAGAACACCAAACACTCCATGTTTCTTGCAGTGCCCCTATTCCTAGTTATCCTATGGATACATGGAATGGCAGTCAGAAATAAGCATGTTGTGGTATCTCACAACAATATCAAGGAAGTTTAAAAATGGGCATGTACTGACTTCAGGAGGAGCTTTGTTTGGTGTCTTAGTTGTGGACATGAAAACATTGGCTGTTAAATCTCTGATACCAATTCCTGTTTTATTGTAATCAGGCTCTCAGCTTGGTAGGACTGAATTACAACGTGGAACCACACTGCATGCTTACACTGCAATGCTTTATTTTAAAAGCTGTGTCATAGACCATAGAGAGGAAAAGCTTGTGCCAGTGCAGAGAAGTGTGATCGATGAGGATTAACTCATTTGACATTTCTAGTGCAGAGATGCTCAATATGGTGGTAACACTTCAGCATTAAAGAGCAAAAGATACTGATAATATGTAACTATTTAATATCTTCCAGGTTATCAGAGATGGTGATTTGAAGAATAAGGTTTCCGATATGAACAAAGTAAAATTATCATCTGAAAAAAGGTAAATTTCAAACTAAACTGACTTCTCAGCATCAAGCCATTTGAGATTTGTGAAGACATGGTCCATGTTATTAGTAATATAAATAAAATATTCATTGTGTGTCCCTGATGAGAAAGTAGAAATTTATGTCCTGAAACACTGAGGGAGTTGATATTGATTAGCATAATGTAGCTTGATTTTTAAGAAGTAACTTTGCAAACTTTAAATTTGTCTGCATTTAATCTCAGACATGTCCGTATATAACTGACTATACGTTCCATTTCATTGAAATAAATATCAATTAATTTCATACAGATACAGGAAAACATACAAATGATTACTACTGAATGAATTAAAGGACAAGTTCACAAAACTGCACAGGAAGTCATGGAATTTGTCACAAGATATATTTAATTCTCCAACAACCCTACGACTCAGCATACAATTAGGACACACAACAGTGAAATTACAGAAGATTTCAAGAGTTTTTTGTTACTTTCATGATAGCTTATTTTAACAAATACTTGAAGAAGCTATGCAATTAACTATGGAAGGCAATAACCCTGTTAAACATCAGCAAGCTTGAAATACTTTTTTATTTTTATATTTTTTTTCTGTGTATAAAAATGTAAAAATAATTCTGTAAAAAAATATATGTGAATATATATTAAAAAAAAAACAGTTTTATTCTTTTGAGCTGGCACAGATTGAACCACCTAGTTTCATCAAACTGATATTTAAAAAAAATTCTCAGTGCAGAATAATAGGGTATTTTGGCTTCAATCTTATTTCTCTGATATACCGATTCTTATTGAAACTTGTAAATGAAAGTATGCAAAGCCTTGCAATGGAGCTGTCTTTGGTTATTTAGTTTCTGTTTTTAGCAGGCTTTAAGGACAGGTTGGACATTTGTCTGTCAGGAAGTGCAAATGTGGCCGTGATTCATCTCTGAGGAGAACAGTTTTGATGACCTTGTGAAGTTAGAGTTAAGGAGTTAATGCTCCTTAGCTATGCTTATTGTAATTAGAGATAGTGAAAACCTCAGTGTAAGCCTCAGTGACTACAGAGTCCTCTTAACGAGAAGGCTTTACAATGGGTAAAGCGAAAAATGCTTTCCTCGTTAAAAAGCAGGGTAAGACTTTGAAGAAGTCTTAGATGAAAGGCAGGCCGCAGTGTTCAGGGTATTCATGTGAGGTTCTGCAACGTCAGCAACTTAAGAGGAAATTTAGCTTGACTGGACACTGCTTTTATTGTGCTGTTCTGATTATTTCTTTGTTTTACCTGGCTGATGAATTAAAATCACTGAATTCTGTGATACCTCTGTTTTTGAGAGCAGTCTTCTAGATATGGTTCCTGGCTTGTTTATTTGACAAGACATACGTATTTGCATTACAGATACCAGAAGAGAGTTCCATCCCAAACTTGATTCATAGGTCAAATGGGTTGTCACGGTGATGTTATGAGCAGGAGCAGAATCAGTCAGCCTAGCTGACATAATTTTGTGTCCTACAGCCTTTTTAATGTACAGTGCAGATACTGATATCTGTCAGTGTTATATGCCACTATGTATATCGGTGTAGGATATAATAAAAATATAATTCTTGTTTTAAGGAGGAAATTAAGAATTTTCAGTTAGGAAAATAGGTAAGAAGGAATTATGACTTTGATTTATATTTGAGCATAGACACTGGGCAAGTATAATTTCAAGAACATTTTACTGTGTGATCTGAGGATTTGAAGTTGGTTTGGCTATATTTCTGATGGAAAAATTCTTGCAAGATCAATAGCCTAAAATCATTTTAAAGATAACAGGTCAAGTGCTGCGGTGAGTGCTGGTTGCTCTTACTAGAAATTCTGGCACCGGGAGGAGATTACACCCCTGTACTGTTGGGCTTAAATTGTTATACCAGACTGTGGTGAGGATTATTTACCCTTCCTAAACCCCTTAAAGCTTTTAGTAAGTGTGAAGAGATTATGCTAGATGTTAACTGTCTCTGTGTGGTATATAACTTCCACGTGCCAGTGTTCCTTTTCGGAGAAGCATTAATTTCTTTAAAGAAGTTTTGTGTTTAGAAAAACCTGTATTCCCTTTTCCTTTGTTTGTTATTATAGAACATCTTTGTTGTACTTGTTTGTTTCCTACTTTTAAACTACATTTATGTCATTCTGAGACCAGTGATATACCTAAATGGAAATACTCCCTCCCTACCCCCCACCAAATATGCATGCTCTCACATGCACGTATACATGTAAAACAGCAGCTCTGCTACACAGTGGCTTCTTTGTGGGTTGCCCGGACTATTATTTTTGCTATGGGGCAGGTGAAGTTAATGGCCTTTGGAAGCCTGTGACCACATCAACAAAGCTTGCGTATTTCATTACAGTTTTGGGCTCAGTTTGGAGTATTTCAAGGTCAAGTTTCAAGTGAAAAATGGAGAAGTAGAAACAACAGAACAACATTTAAGCAAATAAATAATTTCAGCTTTATTATTACTATTCAGCGTGGTATTGAATGGTGAGAAGGAACTAGAGGTGATTACTTTAGTTATAGATTAAAACATAGCATTTAAGCAAGTCAGATTTATTTGAGATTGAAAATACTTTTGAACCAAAGCCTAGCAAATGACTGAGAAAATGATACACTTCTCAGTAGAAAATTACTTTGATTGAAGCTCTGTAATTAGTATTGCCATTTCTTACTACTGGTGTTAATAATTTATAAGTACCATGTGTAATCTCAAGTTGTTTTTTGGCTATGCACTTCACTTTTCCACACTGACATGTAAATAATAGTTGTGGAAGCAGTTTCCTCTGCAACTGCTGTATCAGTGTGCTTTCACAGTGGTGTGACCTTTGCCATCAGCTACCTTTTTTCCTTGACTTTAACATTTATGCCCACAGTTAAACAGTTAGCTGTGGGAGGTGTTTTCGAAGACATAAAATACAAATGAAGATGTAATAATTCTGCATTGTTATAAACAAAACTGACAGTCTTTATAAGGTTAATGTTATATACGTCAGTTTTATTGCAGATAGTCAGAAGAGTATGTGTCTAAAATGAATTATTGTTGATTATTGCAGGATTCTAATGATACAGAAGTGAAAAGTCAATGTAGTTTTACCTGGAAAATCATTTCCTCTATTTAATTATATGACCATAATTCAAATGTTAAACATTTGTCTAAAAATGGCTTTCATGTAAGAACATGAATCTGAAAACTATTCTGAATAATTGTAATGGCCTAAAACTGAAGAGTAAATAAAACAATTCTAGACTGACTTTATTTTGAGCACTCTAAATATTTACATGAATTCTTTCTCTGTAATCTACCTATAAATATAAATACTTTCTTTGAAATAGTTTCTTATATTAAAGTACATTTTCAAGGCAAGTATGTAATGGCAAGCCAAGATACTGTTTGTGTTCATGATGAATCCAAACTCTGTTGATACATTTGGAGATTTTCTGAAGTTTTGTACTCAAAACCGTGGTCGTTTTCTTTAGCTGGTGAGTGTTGACTTTCTTACTTTGTGAATGATTATCTTTTCCTTCACTTCTTGAAGACCGTCCCGTATGATAAACGGTCTTTGGGACTACAAGAAGTCGCCTATTTTTCTTCAATAGTTGGTTTGATAAATTAACTTGGCACTTGACTACATTCAATAGAAGTTACTCAGATTGACAGAGAGAAACATATATCTGTATTTAACCTTCTGCAACCAGTTAACCTCTTCACACTTGCTCTTAGATATGATATTCAAATATAATTAGTTTGCTGAAATGTAGGCTTTGCAAAATTTGTTGCCGTAACAGTTAAGAATAGTTGCCAGAATTGAGGAGAATTATGGTGGTTTTATAAATGACAGAAATAGCCACTCCTCTTACTCTCTCTTCCTGTTTTTAGTGTTTTTTCCTCTTTTTTTTTTTCCTCATCTAATGTTTGATTTCATGCTTTGTGTGGATAGACAAATTAAGGTAAAAATTCTTTTTTTTCTTTAGCGTTTCTACCAATTCTCGGACTATGTCTCTGCTGTCACAGCTGGAGAAGATCAATTTGGACTCTGTATTAGGAGAAGCAGATAATGCCAGATATGTTACCTCAAAGATTCTTCATCTGGTTCAGAGTCAGGGTAAATACCTGTTTTTTGTTTGTAATAGTATTCCTTTTGAACCTTCTTCCTTCTGTTTATTCTGTTTATTACTGAACTTTTTCTTTTTTCTGTTTGCTAAACTTTTTTATCCATCTATTTCTGTCATGGGCTGTTGAAAGCACATGTTTAAGGCTATGTTTAAAATTACCTGGTATAATACTGGTTACACCGAATACATTTTGTATCGTCAATATAATATATTTTTTCAGAATTTATATAATAAATTATTGCATGTATTATATTGTAGTCAATTTAAGTCATAATTCACAGTGTAAGAACAGCTAATTTGATACTGTCATATTTGATACATTATAAAATATTTAGCTGCTGCAGTTATATTGATATTCAGTTAATACAGAAAGAGGTTTACTTTGTTTGATAAAAGGTACTTTGAACAGTATTCATATGAAGAATAATCTATTTACTGTTAAAAAGGCTCATGTTTATTTTCACTGCTGCTCATAATGACCTGTTTCTGTGGTAGACTGATCCACTGAAGATTTATATATCTGATTCCATGAATTAGCCTCACAAGTACATAGAGTTACAGATGCTTTTGCTTTGCTTCTTCCCCTATTTTCCAAATGTTGTTTATTTCTAGCCCCTTTCAGGCTATCTTCACTTGTCAGGCTATCTCAAAAGTCACTTTCAATCTAAAGACAGAAGTGTCTGGTGATGTAATACTAACCAATACGGAAGATAAAAAAAATAAAAAATATTTCCTTAAAAGAAAACTGGCCTTCTTTTTCTTACTGGCAGAAAAAACCAGGAAGGAGATGACATCTAAGGGTTCCACTGGAATAGAAGTTATCCTGTCAACCCTAGAGGTAAAACATTTTAATCTTTCTGCTTGTGTGTACGCTGCAAGTTTTCCTATCATCTGGGCTTTGAATTTTTAAATATGTTGTTATTCTAGCTGTTCTCTAAAACTTGAGTTTGTCAAAGGACTCTCTAATGATTAAATAAGGTCTTTTAAGTATCATAGAGGATTTAATTAATTCTCTCCCTTATTTTTTCAAACATTCCATTTAATATGTCATACTAAGAACTATATTTTAATTGGTTCTGTGGTTAATTCAGGCTGCATGGTGTGAAGGTTAGCTGGAAAGTAACATCTTAAGTTTTGTTTGACTTTAGTGACATTTAAATATCTAAAACCCTATTGGACTTCTAAATTAATCAAATATCTTTTTTATTGCAGAATACAAGAGATCCTCAAACTATTCTAAATATACTAAACATTCTCATTGAATTAGTTTCAATTGGTAAGTGTTCATTAAGATAGTAGTTTGTCATTATATTCTTGTATTCTTATGTAGACTTGTTTTGTTTATTTATTTTTCCCTGAAGGTTGCTAAGGCTGTCTTTATACGCATTTTAGACTTCGAGAGAATCAAAAGAGCATAAAGACTGAAGTGACTTTTTAAATAATCATGCATGTATATTTTGTGTTGCTGTAAGTCTAAGTCCAGCATGTTTTTCTTCACGTTTGAAGAAAATACCGCTATCAATATTGCTATTTAAAGTCTTCTTTTATATTATCTATAGCTTAGAGTTAACTGCTCTTTGGTTATGAAGATATCAATTGTGTATTAAATTTCTAGGTGGTGGTCGGAGAGCAAGTGTCTTGGTCACTAAAGGAGGGACACAGATCTTGTTGCAGCTGCTTTTGAATGCCAACAGAGAGTCTCCCCCAAATGAAGAATTAATGGTGCTTCTTCATACACTTCTTGCAAAAATTGGTCCAAAAGGTGATGATGATGCACTTATGTAATATGGCTTAATACTTTGCAGTTTTGTAATTAAAGTTTAAGAAAATTATATTGCTGAATAAACATCCGTGTGCTCAGAATTAGTAGAGAAGAAAAGGAGGAGTAGAGGGGAGTAAAACATGGTAAATATATATATTTAATATGCCATATAAATTATATTTAATATAAATAAATCCACAAAGTTAACATAGCACTTATAGGAATTCACAGTTTATTTAACTTCTATTTTTTAATGATAATTTCAAAACTGATTTGATTGATCTTTTATTTCTTTGATGTCAGACAAAAAGATTGGCATGAAGGCAAGAATTAATGGTGCCCTGAACATATCATTGAATTTAGTGAAGCATAATTTACAGAACCACAGGCTAATTTTACCATGCCTTCAAGTATTACGAGTTTATTCAACCAACTGTAAGTATTGGTTGAATACTTTTCTTTTGCTTATAATACATACGTTTTACATAGATATGGTTAAAAAATATAGCATCTACATACTTGTTTAATGTTAAATGCTTAAAGTTACTATGGTTACCGGAGAATTTTATTTTTATATTGTCAAATTGCTTAAGTCTAATAAAAGCTGTGAAGTTTTTGTACTTGTGCATCTTTTGTTTTTTGTTCAGTGGTTCACATATGGTTGGCATTCTTTAATGCATTTGAATATGTAGAATTTGGGTGCACATCATTTGCATAAATGCTGGTGCTGTATGACCTAAACCAGGAATGCTAACATTGTGCTTGCAAAAGCACTTCAAATGAAAGAATTACTCTTTATTACGCGTGCTCATGATTTTTTTTTAGTGTATTTGTATTTTAATTAATGGTTGCAAATTTAAAACTTAGTTCTCACAGGAAATATTTACTTTTTTTTTGTTTAACCTTCCCTTTACTGAAATTCAATGAAAACTCTTCCATGAAAGCCTAGTTCATTGTACAAGTAGGAGGAAGTTGCTGAAAACAGTGTGATTCTCACAGAACATCCCATTTGTTAATTGCGCTGATTTTTTCTTCCACTGAACTCAAAATGGACATTCAGCCTTTTAAATAAATGTATGAATATGAAAGTGTACCAACAGTTTTCTGAGAGAATTGATTTGATGACCTGTAAGAATGTTTTCAGATTACTCGCATGAGAATTTGTAAAGTTCCAGTAATTTATGTGGAAGCTTTATTTCTGTTGAGCTGTCTGATAATGAGGTAAAATGCTTTTAAATGGGAGAAGATAATACAGATGTTCATACAGGTTAACTTTCTTAAGCCTGAAAATGGAAGATTGAACTGAATCTCTAATTTGGATTATGCTTAGATCACTTCTGTCCTTCTCTATTTCCCACTCCTTACAAACATAAAAAGTAGTAGTTTATTTCATGTTGATGGCTGGTGTTACTTAAACTTTGTTTACATTTGCTACTAGAATAGTCCTCATTTTCCTTAACTTTTAGTGTTGTAATAGTTCCACTAATGATGAAATTGCAACTTGGGTACAAGCGTTGAATTGTACTCATGTGGCACTTATGATGTTGAACTTGTCTCATTGCTTAGTTGCTCTCTTCTTATTTTTCTAAGACTGTGTATTTGTAAGCTCAGTTTGGAATTAAATTCTGGTGCCTTTATAAACCATGTAGCATGCATTTTGTCAATATTAGCACCATTTCTCTTAATTTGTACCCTTCCCACTGGATTACTATTTTTTTTATTTTCTGAGAAAACATAACTCAAGAAGTGTTAGCTTGCAAATGCTGGTTGATAGACCTGTCTATCCAGATAATGAAGGGTAACAGCAAGTCATAGAACCTGATAGACCCAAAAATTTAGACACCATGCTGTCTCGATTAAACCATGAGCTTTACAAAAATACAAATCCTTTTTATGATACACATCAGTAACAGGGGAAGCAGAAGCATGCACAAGAGCTAGTGTGTTAATTTTATCTGTAAAGTAGTAAGTAAGTTTTTTTTTTCTTTTGCAAGTTTTATCAGGACTTGATTTTTACAGTGATTATATGAAGAGTAGTGTCTGCTTGTCATTGTTTGTCTTAAAGCATATGCGTCTGGTACTTGAGAATTTACTAGCTTGGATTTTAGTTTGTGTATTGATTTTTCTTTTGCCTTCCTTATTATCTTTTTTGTTTGTTTAACTTTTCCAGCTGTAAATGCAGTGTCCTTGGGAAAGAATGGAGTAGTAGAACTGATGTTTAAGATCATTGGGCCTTTTAGTAAAAAGAACACTAGCCTTATGAAGTAAGTAATGTCTTTTTAATACAGTATATGGAAAAAATCTTTAGATAAGTTTCAAAACTTTTTATAAAAAAGAATGTTAGAGAAATCAAATGTAACTAATATTTGAAAGTTAAAGTGAAGGGAAGTGGGAGGAAGAGCTACAAATACGACTTCTTTTAGAGTATAGTAGAATATGTAGTTATAGTCCAGGTAAAAGAATATAAATGTTATTTTTTGCCTCTAATATTTCTGCATGGAAACTGTACAGTGGCCATGCCCAAATCAGGACAAACCAATCAGGACAATCCCATAATTTTTCTGTCTGTTGAATTGGCTCCCAGATGAAGAGTGACATTATCTGTGTTTTTTTTTTTGTTGGTGTTGTTGTTGTTTTTGTTTTTTTGTGTAATACAATTTTCTTTATGTTCCATTTGAAAGTAATTATCAATTCTCAAAGACAATAGAATAGGAAACTCCAGCTATCTAGTGGACTATTGCATAAAATAAAGAACATTTCACTGAGAACCTTAAAAGTGGTGTCATTAGATTTTTTTTCTTTCCAAGGGTGTTTTTTGTTTATTTGTTTTTGTGTTTTGTGTTTGTTTTTTAGAGAGCTTAGGGTTAAAATGAGTAAGTGTATCTTCCTGGAGATAGCAATTTCTTTACATTACTACCAACTTTTAGAAGTGCATACTTGCGGGGAAACAGATTTTTTTTAAATCTGCTTAACAAAATAATGTTTGAATATGAAACCCCAAGTTTTTCATATTCAAACTTTACTACAAACTGTTACAAAATGTTATCTAAATCTGGTACTTGTGGTTGTTGCAGTGTCTCTATTAAAAAAAAAAAAAAAAAAAAAAAGCCCTGTCCCTTCAAGCCCCGTCTAAAATTAAACACATGAACTTACTATTCCATGATGTGAGTAATCTTGATATCCTTGTTTATGGTTTGAGATCAGATGTGTGAAGTCTATCCTTACAAAGCGGGTAAAAATAAATATATATGTTTTCTAGTTGTACATCTTGATTTAGTTCAGACAAAACCTTGTGTGCAAAATAACTTGAGTGATCTTGTATTGCAGTGCACATTGAGTGTTACATCTCTATATTTATACACTGCAAGTTTTGACCTACAGTTTTCTAAACCAGTGTCCTTTATTTTACAGAAGTACTTGCTCTGCTGCAAACATAAAAACATGGGTGTTAGAAATACCTCATCCATTGAATATAGTTCATAAACATTGCGTTGTCACTTAACTGTTTTTTTTTTTTTTGCAAAGACTAAGTTTGTATAGCCATTATGTTGATGTTTTTAAATTTCACCATCAGATTTCAGATATAGAAGAGATGCATGATAGTTTAATAAAACTATTTTTTTAAAGCCAAAGCTGTGATACAGCACAACCAGGAGAACATTTAGTTAGATGCTAAAGAAATCTGTTAGCTGTATTTTTTATTTTTATTTTTTACAATGTTGTAGATGAAGTTCACTAGTTGTTTGTTGTTTGACTTTTCTTGTTATATTGACAGGGTTGCTTTAGACACACTTGCTGCATTGCTAAAATCAAGTAAGTGTTTAACTACAAGAAACTGTTTGTCTAGCTGAGATATATATGTGTGTATATAAACATACAGATGTTTGTGTATATAGACAAAGAGTAGATCTAATACTAAGTCTGTGGCCAAAACAAAACCAGGGCTAGGATAAGGTTACGGTTTTATTGGTCTCTGGTACTTCCGTTTTTGAACAGTACATATATATTTAATAATCAGTTACTGTCTCTTCAGTTCTGCTGCAGAAAGGCTGCACAGCTTCTGCAGAACTGGTCTGGAACCAAGGCGGTTTTACAGTCACACCTCAGCCCTGCAGCCATGGATACCTGTAGCTTATCTCCAATGCATCTTCTTCATACACATATCTGAAAATATCTGTTGGATGACAGGGGAAAATACTGGGTTTTTCAGATACCTTTCTGATGAATTAGATCTTGGGTCCTAAAGAAAAGTCTGTCTGTGATGACCATGAAGTGGAACCAGGGGTAAGAGAACAAGGGTCTGTTCCCAGATGTTGGCTGATGGCAGCAGACCCTGGCAAACGTCCTCTCTGCTGATTTTGCACCAGGACTATAACTCGCAAGGGGTTAAAAACTCATTATTTCTAAAAACTGCAACATTCCTAGTTGTTCTAGTGGAGTTGGATAAGGACTGAGGCATGATTAGATTTGCAGACAACTATTTCAGGTGTGACAGGAAAGTTCTGAGACACTTCTTAGAGTTTTCTCAGGTTTGATGAGAGTGACACTTGGTCTTTTGGGTTTTTGTATTTACTAATTTGGGAGTTTCTCCTTGGAAAATCCAGGGAAATAAATATTTATGAATTATTTCTGGTATTCTGTTCTGTGAATTTGCAGTCAAATTTTAGTGTTGGGAAGAGAAATTAAATGTTGAAAAGGTGTGTATTTTGAAACAGGAGGTCTTGTGCATTTATTTTGAGATAATTCTTATTCAGTCCTGAGGGGTCTTGACACTGTAACTTCCTACACTTCATGTAAGTAAATCTTTTCATAAAAGCATTCATTTCTGGTGTGTGGTTTTGGCATACCAATTACCCAATAAGTGGGTAACATTTAGGGATTGAGTATTTTCAGTTCATAGATGTGAGTGATAGTTGCTGTAATACCGTAAGGATTACAAATAGTAAGAAATTTGTTTCAAGTCCTGTGTTTACACAGTGTTTTGATATTGATAGATAGGCTTTACATAAGCTTTTTTTTTTTAATTTGCTAGCTTACAGTATCTTACAATTACCTTTAGGTGTAACACACACACATATGAAAATGATGTGCAATGTTATTCTGAAGAACAAAGTATAGAGAACTGAACTCATTTGGTCACTTCTAATGGGAGTAATATGTCCTGTGCTTGTTGTCTTTAAGATGAGACTTTAAGATGAGACTTATACGAGTTTTGTTTGGCAGAAGACAATTATGCGAACACAATGCAAAATAAATTAGACAAGCAAATAATGTTATTTAATAAATTATTCCAAAATAATAAAAAAAACGACACACAAATGATGTGTTTTGAAATTGTGTAGCATATGTACGCTTGCCATTTACTGGTGTCTATTATGTACATTATTTTTATTGCATGCTTTTAGTTAAAAAAAAAAAAGAGAAATTTTTCTAGTACTCACTTTTCCAAACCAATTTATGTTTAAATTGGGTTTTTAATTGAAAAACAAAACAAAAAAACAGAACAGCAAAATCTGAACATTTTATTATATACGACTAATAAATAATAAGACTTATTGTCTTGGAGCAATAATGACTGAACATATAGGTTCATTTTAACAAGATGGAAATACCTGAGGAAATTCTGCTAATGATTTCCATATTGATTCAAAATATTTTGCCTATTACTTGTTATTGATATGTTTGATATAAGTTCATTCTCTTTGTAATTATACTTCCCAATTGCAATAAGGAGTTAAGTTAAATGTGCAGCAATCTCATTGTACAGCTGAGGTATATATGTGTATATATATATGTGTGGCTTTGAATGACTTAGTTAAAATTTTGGCAATACTGACAAACATAGGGCTTCTAAGAAATGTCTAGAAAATATGGGAACATATTTGCTAGCATTTTTTATGATTAGGTTGATGTAAAACACTGCCAAGTGTGCCTGAAATAACACCTTAAATGCAATAGTTCAATAATTTGTGTAAAAATAATAATTTAATAATAGATATGAAAGTAATACTGAAATAATCGGGCAATTTTTAATTTACTTTCTTAACTTTTTTTTAAATAAAGAAACAAATGCCAGGAGAGCAGTAGACAGAGGATATGTGCATGTGCTTTTAACAATTTACGTTGATTGGCACCGTCATGATAGTCGACACAGATACATGCTGATACGTAAAGGAGTTTTACAGTGTATTAAAAGTGTTACGAACATCAAATTGGGAAGAAAAGCATTCATTGATGCGAATGGAATGAAAATCCTTTACAACACTTCACAAGTAAGTTTATCTCTTTTTCTTGTTGTTCAGTTTGTCTTTTTAAAAACACTTTCTCACCTCAAATTTATCATAGTTTTTATGATATTCATGATCATTCATAATTGTGGGGGTAAGGGTTATTTTCTTAACTTACTTAAAGCAGAAGGAAAGGGTGCAGGAGGAGATTCCTGTTTACTCTTTTTCAGCTATGACTATTTATGGGAGGGTGGTTTGATTTTATTTTTTTTAAAGCCTTCTCTTTGAAGTCTGGGTTTTAAAAAGGAGAGTTTAAGGGCAGATGGCAGAAGTTCTTTTAGCCTTCAAAGGAGGCTTCTGTTTTAAGTTTGAAAATTTATTTCATATCAAATATTTTAGCCATTAGTGAATTTTAGAAATCTATAAAATCAAATGCAGTTTGACTACTAGGTTGAGAGATGCTTTTCTCTTGTCTTCGTTATTTTTCTGTTAACAGGAGTGCCTTGCAGTAAGAACTCTTGATCCCCTTGTCAACACATCCAGCCTAATAATGAGAAAATGCTTTCCTAAAAATCGTCTTCCTTTACCAACTATTAAAAGTGCTTTTCATTTCCAACTCCCAGTTATTCCAGCCAGTGGTCCTGTGGCTCAACTGTACAATTTGCCTCCTGATGGTATGGTCATTTCAAAATGTTTTTTCTTTGAGTATGTCTAATACGCTGTATGTCAGGTGGAATCAACTACAGGTGTTTATCTTCTCCAGTAAAACCTAGACCCCAACGAGATTCTTATCAGCTAGCAAACGGTCTGTAGCTGTTAGTGTGGAGCACCAGTTTCTAATATTAACTGATGACAATTTTGTCTGTACATATGTGGTTATGTTTCTGGAGTTATAATATAAAAGAAAAATAAAAAGAGGAACTAAATATGATCAACCTCTAAAATGGTCGTCAAACTCTGAATTGTAAAGCATGCTCTGTACATATTTATCTACAAACTTATATGGGCTCTCTTTTAAGCTTATCATACGTATTATCTGTGTGAAGTGTAACTACATCCTGTTTTACAGAAATACACATTCCTTAATTTTTTTTCTGTTACTCTGGTAAACTGGATGTACAAAATTTAGGTTAACATGTACCATTTGAGGTGTTGACTTTAATCCTTTGTGATTCTTCCTTTATTTGCATGATGAGTATATTCTTCTACATTCTTGGACTCTTCCAATCTCGTAGGTATCACTTATCTGCAGACTATTTGTATGATGCCTTGTAGGAAATAGATTCACTCCATTGTGAATGCCTCTCATTATTTTTGCAAAATTAATGCTTAGTGCATTTTCAGATATGGGGAAACAGTTTGGTATCTGGGTAAACATATAATGGAATTGCTGCGAGGAAGTTGTTCCAAAGTAAAGAGATGAAGTCAGGTGTTTTAATACTTTATTCAAAGCATTTTCTGAAACAAAATGTGATAGCTATGAAAAAAGACACACATCTCGTCAGAGTCTATTTAGGACAGACCTAAACTGCAAGTGTTTAGAGGTTGCTTTACTTTCAGAGTAGAAAAGTGATTTACAACTGTGTTCTAAAATCCACAGAAGTAACATCTCTACTTAATATAGTGTTACATACACATAACACTTCTCTTGTAACTCCCTGTTCTGTTGAAGTAGGCTATTGATACTTTTTCTTTGTGTTTGAAATCTGTAAACAAAGAATTGGAAAACCCAGAGAAATAAGATACATATGATTTTTATTTTCTAAGAAAAACTTCATTACTAGAGATACAGAATGCTGGGGGTGATAAAACTCTGATTTTATTAAAACTATAATTTTGTAGAGTCAGTATTGTAAAAGCAATACATAAGAATACCTTATTAAATCAGTATAATTTCTGAAGTGTGATTCTGTAAACTTCTAAGTGAGCCTTTTATTGGCAGTTGGTAAATTTCCTGCAGGGTTTTGTGCTGAGCTCTGGTTTTGTGCTGAGCTCAAGTCATGCTGAGATGTTCTTGGCACCTCTATACTGTAAAGTATTTCTAAAGGCTGTGTGCTGTTTTGCATTGTTTTTTTGTTTGTTTGTTTTTTGAGATGCTTTTTTGTTTTTGTTTTGCTTTTTTTAAGCCAGAGGTCTTTGTTCTGTCTTAAACTGCATGGAAATTTAATATATTGAGTCTGCAGTATTGTGAAACAAACATTTTGTTTTTTAAATCTTGTAGTAATTAACATTTACGGGCTTTTACAGGACTTAAAACAAGTTGTTTTTTACTTTTTTTTTTTGAAGTGTTAAGTAGAAAGAAAATAAACCCAGTACGTACACTTTTTTGAGTATATATTTTACCTATTACTAACCATGTATTACAAATTATTTATTTTTATAGGAATAGAAAGTGTTCTTAAGCTTTCATTTGTGCTTACTGCTATTTTAGTAATAGGTAGTAATGGTAATAGAAGGATGGTTGGACTAGATGATCCTGTGGGTCCTTTCCAACCTTGTGTTTCTATGATTCTATGATTCTTAAGCGAATGATCAGCCTTACAAAACTTATTTTATATTGTAGTGGATGATGTCGTAGATGAAAGTGATGACAATGATGATGCTGAAACAGAATCAGAAATTGAAACTGAAGTTGAGGATGACAAGGACCAACATTTTAAGGTTGGTATGAGATAAAGCTAAAGGGCAAAAATCAGATACAGCAATTACTTGTTTATTTTTAAATTGCTTGAATTGTGTATACAACCATGGATTTAAATATGAAAAGGGTGTTGAGTGGTGAAAAGGGTGATTGACTAGGTCAGTGTTTTCAGCAAGGTAACCTTGAAGTTCAGCCAATGGAAGAGATTGGATCTCCCATTGTTTTATTGCTTTTGGAAGGTTTTCTTCTGCTCTCCGTCTTCCAGTCAGGACGTGAAAGGAAACTTAGTCAGAACAGCCTTATTCCGTATTTTTATGTTACATGTATTCAGGAGTTGATTGAATCATCTGTCTGTGGACTGTAATGACAACTTATTCAAGGCATTCATGAGACCTGATGAAGGGAATATCGTCTTTCATCAAAGCAATTATTACTTTGTCACTGCAGTCAGATGAAATCACTACACGTCAGGTTGAGATGGTTGGGTTATGCATAGATCTTATGTAAAGGGTAGTCTGATGTCTGTGCATAATACATTTTGATGAAAGCAAGAAAATTGTTTTATGTTTGTGATGTTTCTGTTGAAATGGAAGTGTTGAGATACTGATGAAATCAAAATGCTTTTAATAATGATGAAATGTGTGGTTCAGCTCATTTTAAAATAGTGGTATTTGACTTTTAAAGCATGTCTGCATCAGATATAAATGCTGATTATCATTATTTTAGAAGTTCATTAATTCTGGGTTGAAGATTAATTTGTTCTGGTGTTGTTTCAGAATGATGATATTGAGACTGATATTAATAAACTGAAGCCTAGACAGGAACTGGGACGACCTTTAGAAGAATTGAAAATGTATGAGAAATTTTTCCCAGAACTTTCAGAAAACTTTCAGGTAATGTATATGATTTCCAATGCAGTCCTCATCATGAAGAGTTGACTCTGAAGCACAGTTTGATGCTTTTGTTTTGAGTGGATAGCTACTCCAGAAAAAAAAAAAAAAAAGAGGGGACACAGTTTGCAGTTCTAGAGGTACACATAGGGTTGGTGTTTAGTGAGTTGTTTAGTTTAATATCGTGTGTTGCTTTAATATTGAGAGTAGAATGGTATGACTTGATAATTTTTTCTTGATAAACTACTTGTTTATTGTTTTTATGTTTTTTTTTTTCTCTTTTATATTTTAAGGAATGTGACCTAGTCTCCAAGGAACCAAAGCCTTTTGTACCTGATGCAAATCTGGGTGGACCTATTGTTGTTCCTACAGCAGGAGAGGAGGTCTCTGCTGAAGCAAACCTCTCAGTTAAAGGAATTTCTTTGAAGGAGAGTAATTCTTTATTGACAGAAGAATGCAATAGGAGGCCAGCCTTTTTGGAACTACCAAAGAAAGATGGTATCAAAGACAGTAGTTTACTTCAGCAAAATGATCAAAGGAAGCTGCTTCCATCATGCCAGTGTCTCAGCCAAGAAATTGTCAAAGGCTTGGACAGAATCAGCTTGCAGAACAGTACAAAAAGTGATCAGTATTATGCAGGGTGTGTAATAAAGAAGGAAAACAAAGCTAGCCTTACCCCACTTGCATGTAGTAAAACTTGTGAACATGTTTCACCTTGTGGAGGTAGTCTTTTTGAAGGGTCATCTGTCCACCTGGGAAAACTCTGTTGCACTGGAGTGGATTCGGAGGAGGAGGATTCCAGATCTAGTTCATCAGGGGAACAAGTGGTGCTTGAAGTTTCTGATGTATCGCCAGTTCACGACTGTGATCTCTATATTGAAATGGTGAAAAACACAAAATCTATTCCTGAATATTCAGAAGTGGCCTATCCAGATTATTTTGGCCATATTCCACCTCCATTTAAAGAGCCTATTCTGGAAAGGCCTTATGGAGTGCAGAGGTGAGTTACTGTATGCCTTTTGTTCTTATTGTCTCCATTGAATAGTAATATTTTACATGCCTGTTAATCTTAGCCTATACAATTTTTACCTTGGCATCTAAAACTGCTTTAATTGAAAAACAATCTGAAGGTAAGTGAGTAGGCATTAATCAATGCGAAGCCCTAAATAAGAAGAGAATCTGAATCTTTGCAAATTCTCATTCAGTAATTCCAATTTCTAAATACTAATTTACTTTGTAGTCTTCATTTCTGTCCCTGTCATCCCCCCCATGTATATCTTTTGGTTTTTATTTAAAACCAAACCAAACCAAAACCCAACAACATAAACAAAAAGCTCCACAATGCTTTAACACTTCATAAATCAGAAGAAAAAAGCTAGAGATGTGATGCTTTCTAACTTAACTGTTCAACTACAGAATATTTTACTTAAACAATGAGTTGCAGTGTATTTTATCTGTCAAAAAAATGAGAAGTCTGAGAGCTTGTGGACATAAGGGTGTATCAACAGTATTTCCTCTTGATGCTTTTTGTGCTTCTCTGTGTTGTCTGTAAATAAGTGCAAATTTGCACAAATAAGTACAAATTCTGGTGTACATGAATGGAATTCCTTCTGTTTGTATTAGAGGAACTGTAAAAGCACTGAAGGGACTAGGTGCTAGACTGCTCATGTGTTCAGCATTAGTATTTTTTCAGTTAAGATACCTGAATGTTCCCTTTAGGTCTTATCAAATATTAATAGTTGATAGTTGAAAGGTACTTCACTTTTTCACATTTCTGTGCTACCAAAGCTATCTTTCAGCAAAATGCAGTGGGGAAAAAATTAAAATAATACTTTTTAAGTATTTGGTTTTAATGTTTGCAATGTAACAGAACAACTGCTAAGGATGTAGTCTGTGTTAGATCTGCAAAATTACTCGGAATAAGCATGTCAACATAACAATTATTTGTTTGCTGAGATTTTCATTATTAAAAGATATTGAATGTCACTGGTAGTCATTTGCAGAGATAGTATGAAGAGCTGGCTCATGAGTAAAATTAAGCTACTGTAAAGACATAAGTTTTTGCAAGAAGTAGTGGTAGTAGATCTTGTCACTTGCTTAATTATTGTTTGAATGCTGTCAGTGTCATACCCATAAATTTAACCACTTTCATGAGATTGTTCATATTTACATTTAGTTATTGATTACGATGATAAAGAGATTAAGTGTCTTTAAAACTAGGCAGTAGAACTGAAATATTTCAGCTGATTCTCAGACCTGTCATAAAAAGGTGGTCTTTCTGATGAAATGAACAAATATTAAAACACTAATGGCATAATATATGTACTATTACTAGAAAGCTAACTAGTGTTAGAGAATGACCTTCCCTATATGCTTATTTTTAAGGTAGATTCAGTTTATCTGCAGATGTGTTGATTTCTGATGCAAGATTAAGAACTGCATTTTAAGAAAATCATGCAGATCTTCATGTAGGGTTTTGCAGTACTTAATCATTCTGAATTTTCCTGAGCAACATTATATGTCGAATGAAGTCTCTAAAAACAAATAAAATTTGTCATTCCATTGCTCATTCTTCTTAGAAATAAAGCACCGTATTAAACTCTGCCTTTTGACAAACAAACCTACTTGTGAGGTTGTACATAAAGCAGATCTCTAAACTGTGAAGGTAATTCTAGATGATATTTGTTTTAGCTTCAAACTGCTTTATTTTTGTTGGGGTATACTATCTATGCTGGAAATATACTTCAGCTCATCTGTGAAACAAGTATGAAATTTCACCTTCCAATGCTAAGCTTGAAACAAAAATCTCATGTAATCTTTCTAAGATTCGCTGTTCTAAGAACTCAGTTTTCTGGGAAGGACTTGGTATTGTTATTGCAATGTAACAAATTTCTGAGAAAGGAACATGTTTGAAGAGGGCTTAATCTTTTTAGGAATTTTAAATTTGCAGAAAGGTGTTGAAAATGAGTTTGGTAGAGGACATGGGGAAGCTTTTAAGTCTTTTGTAAATTAGTGTCCAAATTCTTTTGGCATTCGGTGGGATTTATGTTCTCTTCACTGTTTGCAGGTAGTTACTGCTTGTCAGCTACGTCTTTTTTGGAAAACAATGTGTTGCCTTAATCCGTTGCCTTAATGCCATCTGATCATAACAGAAGTCTTCTTTATTTTTCTACTATTAAGAAAAGAAAAATATTACTTAATTCAATTCTCTGTGAATTAGGGATTCAATACTGACTTTTTTCTATTCCTTTTTTTTTTATTTTTTTTTCTGTACACTTTAATATTTTCTAATCCTCTGTCTATTAGAAGTGATCATTAGGTAAATCAGGATCCACAAAAAATGGACTAAAAACACAGAGTTTTTTGTCAACAGTATTTTTTTTGTGTTTTTTGTTTGTTTTTTTTTTTTTTAATTATCTTAAAATAGATTCTCCTATCTCTCAATTTTTTTTTAGTACCTGAAAATACCCACTACAACTTTGCCTTTTAGTGTGCATCTTGAATACCATTTGTTTGTTCTTTTTGGTATTTTCAATATCTGCTATTTAGTAATGGATTTTACTCTGGCACAACTCTTGTGATAGTAGAAAGTATTATGATCCTTTGAAACTGAAGCACGCTGAGAGCTAATGATTTGTGTAAGATCAAAAATCTGTAGTTCTGCCCTGAACTGAACTTGGTGAAATAGGTGGTGGTGAGTCAGCATTTTTACAGTTCTGTCAGTATGGTGGGCTTGTGACTTGCTTACTTTTCAGTTGCTCTTAATTTAATGAGGTCCTAAAGTTCTGTGTTTACCTTCTTTTCCTCATTTGTCAACAATATTTATCTTAATTAAAAGGACAGTTTCCAGCCTGAACGTTCTTTACAACTCTGTTCCTGTATTCTTCACTGTTAATCAGCCTCCTTTTCTTCTTATTGCAGGTGCTGTGCAAGCTTTTCCACACAGCTCTGCCACTATATTTCATTCTTGAACTGCAAAACATACTTACTTTTCCAAACCAGGACCTAGATACTGCCAGTTGTGCAATGGTTTTATGATCTGGATAAGCATACACCTGGCATTTGGCTGACATCACCAAATTCATTCTTATTTGTTACCTAGTCGATAAATGAACGTAGATCTCCAGAGGTGAAAAGCTAGTGCACTAACACACTCACTGCACGACCTACTCTCTAAAACTCTTTAATTTTAGTTATGATAGGACTCAAGTGAGTTACTAATACTATGAAGTGCTGTCCTAGATTAAAGCATTAACATAAGTAATGTTTGAGTAATTCCTGCTACTACTATACATTATGAAATGGTACTTTTTTTTTTTATTTACATAAGATAAAACCCAGTGGGTTGTGTGCATGAAAACTCAGTTCCCTCACATACAGATATTGAAATCAGTCAGCTGTGAATGCAGGTGTTTAAAATGAAGTACACCTATAATTCATGCACATAAGTGGGGATGAGGCTGAGGTCTCTTTGAAAATCTGTCCCCTGTCTTCATGTTAATGTTAGTTTTCTTTGTTGTATGAGGTAATTTCTCTTTTGTAATTGGAAACAGTATGCAACAATTTAAATGGTCATTCTTCTTTTATTTTAGGACAAAAATCTCACAAGATATTGAAAGACTAATTCATCAAAATGACATTATAGACAGAGTTGTATATGATCTTGATAATTCCAGGTAAGTTTTTACCCCACTGAAAACAATACTCAAATGATAGTCTAAGCCTATTCTCTTTCTCCATTATATGATCTGGAATTTTAAAAGCAGCAGCGTTATGATAGACTTCACTAAAAGTTTATTTTAATGTAATGTTGTTTCTGCTATTCAAGATATATTTGTGGAAATGTTCGAAATAATTTCTGAGTTAACAAATATGGTCTAAAATTAACCTAATGAGTTTGTTTCAGTCAAATCTGTTTTACTTATTGGCCCCCTTTTTTTTTTCTTTTGTACCCTTAGTTGGTCAGTGCCAGAGGAAGCAGATGTTTTGAAGTTTAATTCCAAGTTCGAATCTGGAAACCTACGCAAAGTTATTCAAATCAGAAAGTAAGATATTTCAGCTTTTCTTTTTACATGCAAGGCTTTTCATTTCTGATTTTTTAAAAAAAGATTAATTTGTTTTTGTTAATCTTCAGAAACGAGTACGATCTAATTCTGAACTCAGATATAAATAGCAATCATTATCATCAATGGTTTTACTTTGAAGTCAGTGGAATGAAAACAGGCATTGGTTACCGGTTTAACATCATCAACTGTGAAAAGTCAAACAGTCAGTTTAACTACGGTAAGATGTATTTCCCATACTTTGAGAAGAAATATGTAGAAAAAGCTCTGTACTAGACAACTAAGCTGCTTCCTTTCCTCTCCCCTCTTAAGCCTCCTGGGGACTGGCATAGTTGTGTTTTCTTACGGATCAGATTTTTAAAATAGCATTATTAGAGAATGTTTTGACAAGCTTCAGTAAAAAGAAAAAAAATAATCTTAAAACATTGGCTGTCAGTTCTTAAAATTTTGTGTTGTGAGTGAAGCAACGTTTCTGGATGAAGAATGTTACTGGTGGCTGCAGCTAAAATTTGTGTTAAGACTGTTGTGGGGATGACACCACCAAAGCCTGTTGACGTGCACAGGTGGAGGAGAATGGCAGCTAGTGTCTTTAATCCCTTTCTGAACAAAGGTGTATTTTCAGAAGTGAAAGTAGGTGGACACCTTCTCAGACAGCTTTGTTTTACTGATAGGAAGAGAGGTGCATTGTGTTTGAGAAGGAATCTGAAGTCTCCTCTGAACTTCTGTACTTTGTAAATGACCCCTGTAGTCTCTACCTATTACTGTTTCATGGCTGTGCCTCATCCAAAAATATTGGCTTACCTGATACACCTTTATTCTATTTGTCTGGAATTCAGGCATTCAGTGTAAAAACTTTTTCTTCTTTTTTTTTTTTTTTTTTTCTGATGGATATTCTAGAATTCTTCCTTTTGGTCATTTGAAGAGGAGAAAGAGAAAATCCCTTCTCCCACTCATCCTCAGACACTTGGGATAGAGTAACATCGTATTAGTCTTTGTCATAATTTATAAAATTTATAATTCACATTGGTAGAATCCAGGAATACCCAAGTAGTTTAACCAGGAGTAAAATGCTTTTAAATTCTGTTTTTACCAGTTACCTTAGATCTTCATTCATATGTTTCAAACACTTAGTAGTTACTTTTTTTTAAGTATATTGATCAAACCAGTCAATATATTTGACTAATTACCTAAGTAGCAAATACTGTTCAATTAAGATATATAATTTTCCATTCCAACTTGATATGAAGTATTCACTTAACTATATTTTTCCAAAAATATAAACTGTTACTGTAAAAAAAAATATTGTTCTGAAACATCAGTTACTTTTACAGCTATCCATGTGAATGGATGATAGTCTTTTTCTTTTGTTTTTTTTAAAAAAATAAACACTTTTTGAAGCCTTTTTATATAGATGAGTTGGATTGAGTAGAACCCTAGATTTTCATGGATGATTATTTGTGCTAACCACAGCTTTCACTTACACATTTTGTTTTCACTTTGTGTAGATCTGATTTTTTTAATTCGCTGTTTTCTGAAAACAAGGAGGAAGGACAGTCTTTTGCGACCTGATTGAAAAAGAATGTATAATATTCAGATATTTATACAAGTGTACTCGTTGATAGTAAATGAGCATAGCTAGTTTGGAGACTCACAGAAAAATGTTGATGTGGTCCATTACTTATAAGATTGTGACGTTTAAGGTTAAGCATTAAAATGAGATGCATTTTTTCCTTGAAGGCATGCAGCCCCTTATGTATTCTGTTCAGGAAGCATTAAATTCTCGACCATCATGGACTCGTGTTGGGACAGATATTTGTTACTATAAGTAAGTACACCTGTCAAACATACACCAAAGCTTTTACTGAAGATTAGTGTAAGTAGAATTTTTAAGGAAAAATGTTTGGTTCTAACTCTTAATAATTACATTTTAGTGGTTTGGTTTTGAACACATTTTTCTTCTTCAGCTGTAGAGAATGACACAAGTGACCAACATATAGGGTGCTTTTTTTTTTTTTTATTAGCACACAGCAAATGTAGTTCATCTTTCATTACATATTGCTGGAGAACCTTTTTATGGAATGTGCAAATACCTGTTTACTGAAATGTTAATAGTGATTTCCAGTAATATTGATGAAGTGGTGTTCGTATTTAGTCTGTTGTTTTCTATTTAATCATGCAATCATTGTAGAGCAATCGTAAAACACAGGATGTGAAGGTAACAGCATATCCTTGTGTTACCCTTCTGGTCAACAGTTGTTTACTTCCTTTTTTTGTTTGTTTGTGTACTCACATCTTCCTGATGTGCATGCATGTGTATCCCTACTGTGATGAAGTATCTTACAGATGGTGGGGAAGAGTGGATTTAACCTGGATGAACAGGGAAGAGAATACATCCCTAAAAATTTTCTTGCTCTTATAATGTGGTTCAGAAATAATCAACGATACTGAAAAGTATTCTAGTATGTCTATTCACTTCACTTTACTCTTAGGAATCATTTTTCAAGAAGTTCGATTGCTGCTGGGGGTCAGAAAGGAAAATCTTACTACACGATTACATTCACAGTGACTTTTCAACATAAAGATGATGTCTGCTACTTTGCTTACCATTATCCATATACATACTCAACTTTAAAGGTGAGAAGATTACAATCCATTACAAAGATCAATATTTACGCATTTAGAGAATGTGATACAGAAGCATTCGTGATTGATTTCTTTTTACTTCTTTCTGTGGAGTTCAAAACGCTGCTTGAAATTGAGGATTATAAAACATTAGTACTTAGAATGGTGATGTGTAGGTTGTTATAAAAAACAGTAACTGGAAAAATAAATGCTTCTTTTCAGGCTAAAAGTTTTTTCTGAGAATCACAATTCATAATTGTCTGGAAAACTACTAATTGAATTTTATTTATTTATTTATTTTGAGTCAAATGACTCATATCCTGATGATGTATGTATACCTTTTCATAACAGATCTATCCAAGTTACAATTACGTAAGATAATCAGGGACATTTTCAGGATAATGAATTATCTGAAAGAGGTATTGTAAAGTACCAAGCAAAACTTGGTTGGAATTTCAAGTGGTTGTTTTTGTCATAGTATTAAAAATACGCTTGGGGATTCAGTGGCTAGTATGAAACTGCATTGAGCAAAGCTTTTTACAAAGGAGTCTTCTCTCCCTGATGGCAGTATATAAGCTGCTGCCTCCAACAGCTTTGAGGCTTGGGGTTTCTGCCTAACCAGGTGCTGGAGCCCAGCTGAGGGACCCAGGGGTCTCTGTCCCAGGTTGATGGATGTGGCTGCTGCTTCCCTGTTTGCAGGTTCAGTCGGTAGTAGCAGTAACCTAGATAGAGACAGACTGACACCCACCTCCCCACCTCCCAGTGTCACAGCTACACAGACTGGCACAGACAAGGTGCTGCCTTCAAAAGCCCTCATTTAACATTTCCAATACTTACTTTAAACCTAGTTTCAAGTCTCTTTCCTTCTCTCCAGCTGGTAAAGACTGCTGATCCTAGTGAGAGCATCCCCCTCCCCTGGATTCACAAGCATGCACACATCGTGGGGTGCTGCTATGGCCCATCTGTGCATGCAATCCCCTGCCTGATCCTCACCCCTCTTACCTGCTGTAGAGGCCTTCTGCTTGCAGGCTAGTCCAGATGGATGCTTACTGGCACATGGGTGCACACGCTCATCTGGCAGGCACTCTGCCTCGTGGTCCCTCCCAAAGACCAGCATGACTGTCTGCTTGGTAACCCTGCCTGGACCTGGGTCCTCAAACTCGCTGGCTAGTCCAACTAGCTTTCTCCAAAGCTTTGCCCATATTTTTCCAGGCCCATCAGCCTAATGCCTGGAGACATTTGATCTTAGCCATTGTTTCTATTGTATCTTGTTTACCAGCTTTGTCTCTCTTTTGTTCCTGTTTATTGCTTTCCCCCTTTACTTGTTATCTTCTGCACTGAAAAGGTCCCTGATCGGGTAACCTTAGTGAATCACAGGTGCTCACTTTCCACGTACCCTTACGGTTTCATTTGGTAGAAAAGGAAGAAATCTACTCTCTGTTCCTTCATTTGCCTCAAAGCAGTTGTAACAGCAGGCTATATAAAGAAAAGCACTCAGTTTGTTAGAAATACAGAGAATGGTATTTAATGGTCAAAATTACCATGGAAGCTTTAATACTGTTTAGAATGACAAAAAGAAAGAGGGGTTAAACAGGACACGTGGAATAAGCTGTCATAAATGATTGCAAAACATTTGATCTGTATTTTTTTCATTATTTTGGGGATGAAGATGCATCTTCAGAAGTTGGAATCTATGCACAACCCTCAACAGATATATTTTCGACAAGATGTTCTCTGTGAGACCCTGGCTGGCAACAGTTGTCCCTTAGTCACTATTACAGCCATGCCAGAGTCAAATTACTATGAACATATCTGTCAGTTTAGTAAGTATGATTTTTTCTTTCTCATCAACTGAAAAGAATGGAAAAACATCTCTTTATGAAAAAAAAAATAGTATTAACCACTGTGCATTGTAAAAGTAGCAATGTAAATAGAGTAAGATTAATGAATCTCATTAGATGAGAAGGTTGTTCATATTCAGGATTTGTTTTGTATTTAAAAATACTTGTGGTAGTCAAGTATTTTTTCAAGTATTGTGGTAGTCAAGATATTTTTGCATGTAGCATTTTGCAGACAACACACCTTGGAAAGGGGTACCTGAGTTGCGAGTTCCTTTTTTGTCTCCAAAAGTTCAGCATATTTGCTTGTCAAAAAAAAATCTTTCCCAGAGCTAAAGATAGAGTCATGTGTAAGCTACTGTGATTTGAACTGCACTTTGGTCATAACAGCATTCTATTTTATTCTTCCCTGCCACCAGTTTTGTCTAATGCAAAAAAAAAAACCCCAAAACCATCAAACTTGTCAGATCATAATCACCAGCTCAAGCTGGTTATGCTCATGTGTCTTGGATTGAATTTAAAGCTCAATTGTGAGAATTCTGTAATTAGCAGTCCTTGTAACAATATTCTGGCAAGCTGTATCAAGAATTCCCCATTTATGTGAATATACTGAAAAATAACTCCCAAATAATCTATTGTGGTTTGTAATAAGTGAGGCTGTCTTTTCCTCTCTTCAATTAACAGACTGCTTAATTAGCTTGAGTCTTATTTTGCAACTTTTGTGCATGCTTCTTTTTAGGGAATCGTCCTTATATTTTTCTATCTGCTCGTGTACATCCTGGAGAGACTAATGCAAGCTGGGTTATGAAGGGAACACTGGAATATCTTATGAGCAATAACCCAAATGCCCAAAGTTTACGAGAATCTTATATTTTCAAAATTATTCCCATGCTCAATCCGGATGGTGTCATCAATGGAAAGTAAGCATAAGTTTACTTACATATATTTGACCTATAATACAAAGTCTTTGAATCTGTTATTAAAAAAAATAATAAATCTAAACTAATTCCCAAACATAAACATATTTAACAAAAGAAGTATTTAGTATGAAGAAAATTACTTAGGAAATTACTAGACCTTAGTTTTCAATTTTTTGGCTTTCCAAGGTAGGTGCAGTTGTTTCAGGAATTCAAACTTTATAAATATATATTCATTTTTTATGGTTGATTTGATGTCATTTTAATTGTCTCTCTGAACTACTAGAAAATACTACTGTTCGCAGTCTTGGATAGGTATAGAATGGTATATGATACCACAGCTGCTTCTAGAAAAAGTATGAGAAGTTCATATTTATCATGAATAGTAAGTTCTTATATCTGATACAGCTTTTTATATAGTTCTTCCTTTTTTTTTTTCCTGTGGTTTTTAGAAGGATGTTATGGAAGTGGCTTGTTATCAGGTGTTGTTAAAGGGGAGAACTGTATTAGGTCAGTAAGAGAGTATCCTGAATTTATGATAGCTTAATGGCAATACTTTCATTTACTACTACTTTTCTTACTAAATCCAAGCAATATTTCAGAATTCTTTGACACTGCAATCAATAAGTATTCAGCAGGTTACAGGGAGTTCTCATAAAATGGAAATTCCAGTATGGTGAATCTGTACTTCTTTCTTACCTAGTTATGAGTAGTATTTTAGAAGTTTTTCCTAAAAAACAGCAATAAAACAAACACATTCAAACCAATGATAGATTTGAGTAGAACCCTCTCTTTATATACATAAAAATACATATGACCTGAAAACCTGGAATTAAATCATTCAAACTATAAGTGAAAGTTTAACACAATTTAAGACAGTTAACAAATCTGTCCAATCAGACACAATTAAAAAAGAAATGTACTGAAAATGACTGTACAAATGTGAATTTCTGCAACCTAAACAGTTCTTGCTGAAAGGTTGCTGAATACAGAGATGATTTTTGTTTCCTTATTTTTGTAATAGCTGGCTGTCTCCTGATGACTTCACATTGAAATCTTAGATTTCTGGTTGACATTAGTATTTGTTACAGAAGTCAACACACCAAAACTGTAAAGATACCATATGTTTGAAGTTACTGATTTTGAACTAGCATTTAAATAAAATCACAAGCTTTCAGTTTCAACAGCACATATGCAAGATTATAATTAAATTAATATGAGAAGCCACTTCTGATTTATTTTTATGTTTTCTGTAACATGGCTTAAAAATAAAAGCTCAAATATTTCTATACATTTCTATTAATCACAGTGTTATAAAACTGAAGTTTATTTCTTACCAAGCTGTTCCAAAGAAGCAGTGGTAACAACTAAAACTTGAGGTTAGGGGGAAGCTTATTTAAAAGTATTCAGCTAATACAAACATATTATCATGTGTTTTTCCTTCTTCCCCTGCAATAGCCACCGTTGCTCTTTAAGTGGAGAAGACTTAAACAGACAGTGGCAAAATCCAAATCCAGATCTTCATCCCACCATTTACCATGCTAAAGGCTTACTGCAATATTTGGCTGCTATTAAACGTTTACCACTGGTGAGTATGTCTGTATAAACAATTCTGAAGCTTTTAAACTTAGCTGTTCTATAAAACAAACATTTTCATAGGGTCTTACAACGTATCACACTTAAAAATTTGACTTGGTGAAATGAGCTTTTGCAGATTTCTAAGTCCGAATTTATTTTTATTGTTAGGGTGGAGGGTTAAATCCTTCCATAGAAGAATCCTGCCTTTTCTTCATAATGCAAAAGTTTATCATATAGAGAGTTTCATTTGATATTTTTTTGGAACTTTCAACAGTGAAAATATAAATGCAATAGAAGGATAAATGAAGATTTTTAAAATTTATGTGCCTTGGCTTTATTTTGGTATATGGTTAATTGTAGGTTTACTGCGATTATCATGGCCACTCACGTAAAAAGAATGTATTTATGTATGGCTGCAGCATCAAAGAGACAATGTGGCACACAAATGTTAATGCTGCCTCTTGTGACCTAATGGAAGACCCTGGTTATAGGGTAAGTTTGACATTCATACCTTTTTCACTTGGCATGCATTTGGAATATGCCTTTCAAATAACTTCCTAGTCTTATTCTGTGCACACAGTGACTTCATAGCATAACCAGACTTATTTGGAATGATCGCTTTTAGTTCATCTGTGTATATCAAAATATTTTGATAGCTTTAAACATCATTTGTATGCTAATACAGCTTGAGAATTTACTGTTAGCAGAGTGCTTAATTTTTTTCAAATAGCATTGTGTGCTTTTTCTGTTCAACACCGTGTAGCAAATATATAGAAAATATACTTCTGTGCATTTATAATTAGTCAATGGAAAAAAAATCATTTGAGTATGGGAAATAATAGAATAGGGTCAAGAAAATAAGCAAAAATAGCAAAATTACCCTGAGAAATACTCATATATATGGAAAAAAGCAAAGTTCCTGTTTTAAAAACATGTAGTTACGAGGCATTTACCCCTAATACACAATTAATTTACATGAGCAACATCCACTGTATTATATAACCTTTTAAAAATTCCTAAAATAAAATTCAAAGAATTATGTGATAATTTATTCTGTGTAGCTCCACTGCCGCCATGTGGCAATTAGAAATATGTGCAACCTAAAATATCCAAACAGCTTGTGTTTTCTAAGGAGATGCAAACTGGGAAGGACTTGTGGGTGATGTGATGGTTGGAAGCAGTCTTGAGCACAACAATTATGAAACGATAGGGTTTTTGATCTTCGGTAAAGTAAGGAAGGTCATTAGCAGAACTGCTGCCTTGGATTTCCAGAAGGCAGCATTTTGTCTATTTAGAAACCTGTCTTGGGAGTGGTTCTGAAAGGCAAAGGAGGCCAGGAAGGCAGGACCTTTTTCTTTAAAGATCAGCCTGGCTTCTTCAGGAACTCAGCAAGGAAAAGAGTTCATGAACTCTGGAAGGAGTGGACGACTATAGAGCTTGTTGCCTAATTGTGCAGGGAGAAAATTGGAAGGGCCAAAGTCCAACTGGAACTCAATTTGTATAGTGCAGCAAAAGACAATAAAAAGTGCTTTTATAAATACAAGAACATTGAGAGGAAGATTAGGAGAATCTCCATCCTTTATTGGATGGAGATTTCAGTAATTTACCAGCAGTCTTAGCTAACCATGATGGATGCAGTTGACTGGAAATTAGCAAATGTGACTAACCTACAAGAAGGGCAGTTTTTGGCCCCTTGCTATATGAAAGATGTTGAGGTGCTGGAGTGCATATAGAGTAGAACAACAAAGCTGGTGAAGGATCTAGAAAACAAGACATATGAGGAGTGACTGAGAGCACATGAGTTTTATAGTTTGGAGAAAAGAAGGCTGAGGGGAGACCTCAGCTCTCTCTACAACTACCTGAAAGGTAGTGAAAGGTTGTAACAAGCAGCATGTCAGTTTTCTCAGGTGAGGAAAGATAATCCTGTCATGGAAATGGTCTCAAGTTGCTCCAAGGGAGGTTTAGATTAGATATTAGGAAGAATTTCTTCACAGAGAGGGTAGCAAAGATTGGAACAGGTTGTCCAGGAAAGTGGTAGAGTCCACCATCCCTGGAGCGTTTAAGAGGCATGTGGACCTGGCACCAAAGGACATGATGGGACCTGGAAGGTCAGGCCATCTCAAAGGTCTTTTCCAACCTAGATGATTCTATGATTTTCCATAGCTATAATGTGAACAGCTTGAACTTTGATTCGTAATCTCGAGGTTAAGCGTGTGCTTAGTGCTTTGCAGAATATGGATGAATTTTATGTATTAATAAAATTGTGCCTGTTAGGTCTGCAGGTTGGATTGTTGGAACAGTTCAATATCTGAATTATGCTTCCTTAACTATAAGGGTTGTGTAGGACACTTAATTTAAGCAAAGTTATCTGGGTGAATTAGAAGGAGATAGCGATCACCTGGAGAATTCCTCATTCCTATACACTTGACTAATACTTCATTTTAGGAACTGCATCTGAAAAATAGGATTTAAACAAGTAGGACGTTACGAACCTGTTGTCATTTGAGCCTCCTGGGCTTAAATAAGTCCAGCTGGCAAAGTCTTTTTAATTATTACTCTGATATTAATTTAAACTACAGACAGATTTTCTGATGACAGTTTGTGATTTAATGTTTTCCCTTCCCTTCCCTTTGTAAGTGGAATAAAGAATCACCTTCTCTTTCGGATTATTGTCTTGCAGACACTCCCTAAGATCCTGAGTCAAACTGCACCAGCATTCTGTATGGGCAGCTGCAGCTTTGTAGTGGAAAAGTCCAAGGAGTCAACAGCACGAGTTGTTGTTTGGAGAGAGATTGGAGTACAGAGGAGCTACACCATGGAAAGCACATTATGTGGATGTGACCAGGGTAAATACAAGGTAAGAAAGTGTATCAGTTAAAACTGCTCTTGCTTTATAATTTCTACCATTTGCATTGGTATCCTGGTCTATAACCCCACTTGCTTGCTTGCTTACCTTAGACTTCTAAAACTGCTCTAAGATCTCTGTTCTGTAAAGTTGGTGAAATGACATTATTTGCAATATTACAAGTTGCATAACAGTCTTTGTCTGTCACTTAAAACACATCATTGTATGCTATGCTTATGGGCTGTTTTAACAAGCTTACTGTTAATTATTGCTTATAGCACAAATGAATGCATGTAATTAAAAAATTCAGAGAACTATTCTTTCCAGTAGATTATTCAGATTGGGTGGTAATAAATGCCAATACTAGAATAAAAAAAATCCTTCACATGTGGCAGTTTTAGACTTCGCCATGACAGTTCTTGGTTCTTCAGAAAGTATTTAGTACAGAATTTTTGTAGATCGAGAAATAAACTTAGGAAGCGAAACACTTTCATATTGTCTTAACAACACTATTAAGTGTGTATCTTTAGGTAAACTCATCATAGCTGTTTCATTTCTAGACTTAAAGCTTTTTTTCAAGTTGTGTCCTTCAAACCATTAATAGGGATGGATTTTTTAAAACAAAAAGTGACCCCCCTCACTAGTAGAAAACTTACATCATAAGGAAAAACCTTTGTAGGAAGAAAAGAAAAAAAAGTAAAAATCCTAACATCAGATCTTCAGCTTCCATCACTGGGTTAATTGTGGCTAAAAGTTGAAGAAAGTTTGTAAAGTGAACGTTCAGAGAAGTCACATCTTCCTCTGCTTCAAAACGGAGTTTAAAAGGCTAAACTCTTTTCTACTCAAGAAAATGTGACCAGAAGCCTCAGATAAGGTGCTTGACAAAATGAGAACCAGAAGGCTGGGACAAAGAAGGAGGAGGAGAAAAAAGGGTGTAATGAGGTATATTTACCCATGCTTATCTTTTCAGACAGCAGGAAGATATTTTAGCAGGAATTTTAGTAGGTCTGTAACTACTGAATGAATGCATTAATTTTGTCAATTAACAACAAGCATTCCTGTTATTGTCAGAATATTCCATTACAATTTTCTTTGTTCCTCAGATGTTGACATAATGGGGTTTTAAAAAATAACCTATCCAGCTAGTTTGAAACTTCCAGAATATTCTCATAAACATCAACATTCATGGCTTTCACAGTGCTCCTACAGAAAGTTCTTATTGAAAGGTGAATAGAGATGTTTTGTGGACAAACTTTTGAGATGCTTACGTTGCAAAGCCCTTCAGTGAGGGAGGAAGAAATGGCTGAATTGTGGAAAAATCAGTTACTCTAAAGGGAAAAGCATTCTCCTACATGCTATAAACAAGTTGATGAGATTGAATTGCTGTTCTGCCACTTATTTTGTTTGGAATGAAACAGTTCATGGGGTCTTAGTCATTCTTTGTCATACAGGAAGAACCTTCATTGTTTCTTCACTATGATAATGCTCAGGTTAAGTAATGAAATTTGTCTCAAAGGCCTAAGTTACTAGACAGAAAAAGGAAAGAGCAACATTTCTGCAAGGAGACTATCAAAGAGAGAAGAGACTGGGCCTTTTTTCTATGGAGGAAGTGAAGCCAGCAACTCCATGAATGGACTTGTGATATAAATTTGTTTTCATATTTCATATGTTATTTCAAAACACAAAACTGAGTTAAGCTGTTGAAATTCTCTTCTCTCCTGCTTGCCACCCCAAAAGACATGACAGTTCAGATCTGAGGGACTGTGTGCTGTTTAAAGGTCTGAAGCGCTTTTCTACTCTCCTGGCTTACTGTCATCACTGAATTTTGTCAAAGCACAAAGAAGATTACTAAAAAATTTTGTTCTTTTTGAAAGAAATTATGACTCTCTGCCAAAGTTGGACATCACTTCTTATTACTTTTAATTTTGCTTGGACAGTGGTGATGCTAGACTGCGTACAGACAGGAAGGAAGTTGTTTAACTGAAGTTTGCAATTAGGATTGCTGGGCCAGTTATCTCTGGAAGCAAACTCACTTGAACTGCTTGTGTGTTGTTTTTGTAACACATTGAAAATCAGTGCTGCAAATACGGTTTATCAATCTGTGATTCAAGATACGAAAACAAAAAAGATGAGGTGAAAAGTTGCTCAGTAATCTATGAAGGATAGTTAAGATTCCAGATAAAACAAAAATTTTGTTACTAAACCTAAATGTTGAACAGTAATTTAACTAGGAAATCTGTTCCTTTCCTGCTCAGAGATTAATGAGTTTGGTAGTATGACTTAATTTTTAAGTTAATTGAGAAGGCTTTGTTGCTTGGAAATTTTACAATGCACAGAAAAGAAGACTTCAAGAGTCTAAAACAAGGATTTGGTCAACAAACAAAGTTACCATGATCATTCCATCTCTACACTTCGAATTCACAAAAATGATCACATCTTTGTAAGCCCTACTTTCTCCAAATCTTAGTACAACTTTTCTATTTAAATACATATTACAGGAAGATTTGTCTCAACTTAAGGTGGCAGCCTGTTGCACCTTCTGTCACACGTCTTTGTTTTCGGGTAGGAGAGTCCATTGCTGAGAAGAAATATGAAGCCATTTACATGCCATACTTAGTAAGGAAGACACCAATCAGCTGTAAAAAATATTACTGTCTGCTGTATAGGATAATGATTGTGTAAAATATAAAGGAAAAAAATTCAGAATTTCAAACAGCCAAAATTCCAAGCATCTTTCTTTTTTTTTTTTTTTTTAAAGCTACCTTGAGATGGCTAAATTGTGCTTAACAGCAATGTTTGTAACATATAAGAAACTTAATTGGGCCACAGTTGAAGGTATTAGAGTAATAGTTGAAGGTATTTGGAAGATCAAGAAACGGAGTACATTCAAAGCTTCAGCAAAAGTGAACTTCATCTCAGTTCTTCAGTGCAATTACAATGTCTTGAAGCAGACTTTGGGTCCCTTGTTTCATGGAATGTAAGAGAATTTTCTGATGGATCATTAAGAGTGGATTAAGAAGTTTTATATTTGACAAGTATGTGTTACTGCATTCTCTGCTGATCAAAGAAAAGATAAAAGCAAACCTAGACTTTAGCTTAGGCTTTTACTTCAAGCCTATAGACTCTTCAGTATAGCATGTTCGGAGTCTTGCTTGGTTCACAGTTACCCATCTCCTATTTGATCCATTTAGATTTCTCTTTAGTTATGTACTGTTTCTGCTGTGCTGAAAATAGCAGCCATGGAATATGCACACGCTATTTATCTTTCTAACAATTGTCTTTGCACTTTATTTCATACTATACTCTTGTCAACTTAAACAGCCACTCCTCTGATACTCCCTGTAAGGAGTCTGCCAACTAACTGTATCTTCTTCAGCAACAGATGTAGACAATGATCGGAAAAGTTTCTGAACATCCAGTTGTGCACCTTAGTAATCTTTGTAACAGTGAGATTACTGTTACACTTCTCCTTCCTCTTCTGCATACTTGTTGCCTCTTGTCCTTAATGTTATTTTAATCTTTTTGGGGCAGGGACTGTGTCTTCCTGTGATTAGCGTAGTGGAGCCCCAGCTATGATTGGGGTCTTCGAATGTTACAGATGTGCAAACAGATAACAAAACAAAAACAAAAATTTGGCCTCTGTGGATAAGGTACTGCACTGGGAGTGAGGAGAACTGATTTCTGTTCCCAGCGGGGTCAGTGACATGCTGTGAGACACTGTGCAAATCGCTTCAGCCCTCTCTGCCTCCATTTCTCCATCAATAAAATGAGGATAATTCTTCCTTTATTAATAAAGTGCTTTGAAACCTACAGCACAAAAGCATTATAAAAGAGGTAAGTAGTATTATTATTAACAATAATACTTAGTATCCAATTCTTGTTCACTGATAACAGGTTTCTGTGCCATTTGACAGGAGGATGACACTTTTATAGAATAGTAGGTATTGCTTTAGTTTTCTTGTTACTAAAAGGCACCTTGTTTATGAAGACTACTGATGAAAAGAGAAACTGCAAGAAAAATAAATTCAAGCTTTCCATTTAAGTTTGCATACAGTCAAAACAGAAGTATGTGAAGTATGTGCAAACAGAAATACAATTCTTCTGAGCCTTGCATTTTAAACTACAGCATCAGTGTGGCAACATATAAAGCTTGTGCTCTAGCTTTTAGGTTAAAAAAAAAAAAAGGATTCTCTGTTCTTTTTGCTTCATACATTTTCCTCCTGGGTGAGAGCTTGCCACTGTTTCCTGGTTCGTCTGCTTTCCTGCTTGTTTTGTCAAAGCTTCTTTTTAACTACCCATTTCTTTAAGAGGCTTAGAAGAAACAAACTAAACTCTTCCTTATATTCTCCTGAGAATAAGAAGTTGCAGAGGGAATATTGAGTTAGGTTGTGACACTGAATATGTTATTGTATATATAGTTCAGTAATGGCCAATTCTGTAATTTTTGAGGATGACTCTGTAATACTGTTCTCTTTTTGTAAAAGAGTTGAGGTCAGAGGTTCTGTCCTTACATAAAGCATTGCTCACTAAGTCTATAATCTGATGGGGCATGTCACATGTGGTCTTGGAGAATAACATAAATTCTACCTCTTCACAGAAGAAAATATCTTATTCAAGTTAGAAAACTGTGGCCTTTGGTATTTCAATTCTATGTTTGTCTTTTTTATTTAATAAATGTGTGAATAAATGCTTTCAGAATTAACATGTAACCTCTAACTCATAGGAGGGGAAGAGATACTTGTTTATGTTAAGGATTAACATTATTTTAAATTCTCATTTATGTGTTAGAATATATCAATGAAGTTGATCATGGTCGAAGTGTGAATTTACTCATTTTGAAAGGACTTTTGTTTGAAAAATCTTGTATTTGAGATACTCTTATTTGAAATTAATTTTTTTAAATTTTATCTCAACTTTTATAAATAATTTAGACTTACAAACTTGGACATAGTATCTAATCTCTCTCTTCCAATGTAAATGGGTAAAAGTTCTTCTAATATTGATGTGCTAGTCGTGTTAAATAGGAAGCTCTGAAGAAATGCAGAAGTGTCCAGAAATGTCTGTTTCCCCTTAGAAGACTCAAGTTGTTATTGTCTGTTTTGTTTTGTTCCTGATACTTGTGCTAAGCATTTACTCTGCAGTTCTTAAATGTGTTGTAAATAATAATTGTGCAGTATGTGTGGGTTTATCTGCATGTACCTATTTTATATTTTTTAAATCTTATTTTTAAATTAGGGATTGCAGATAGGGACAAGAGAACTGGAGGAGATGGGAGCCAAGTTCTGTGTTGGCTTACTGCGTTTAAAAAGAATGGCGTCACCTTTGGAATACAACCTACCTTCTAGTCTGCTGGATATTGAAAATGAGTTGATTGAGTCAAGCTGTAAAGTGACAAGGTAGTACACATTTATTATATTTCCTTTTTTTTTTTTTTTCAGGTAAAAAAGTTTATTTCTCAAGTTAAGTGAAGATTCTCTCAAAAAATGTTATTTCACTCTTCAGAAAGAATGTTGATGTGTTGTGACACTTAGTTTTTCAATATACTCAGATTACTCTTACGCTATCTTGTTAATTCAATTGCTTCAAACTTTTAAAGAAAGTAGTAATAAAGTCAGACTGTATGAGACTGTATGTTAACATTTGTTGTTGCTAGTATAAATTTTAATGTTATCGGGGAGTTATTATATGCAGTGAAACCCTAAGTCTCAATTGTCTCTTTCTCAGAGCAGTTTTTTTTAATTTTATTACTGAACACAGTATTAAAAATTTATTTGGACAGACTTGAACTATATAAGTTGAAAATTACTGTAGGAACTGTAAATTTTTCTTCCAAATATGTTTTCCTCTGGTACAGATACATAAGAGTAGTTTAAGAATTTGAAACAAATGAAATAAGGTTTGTGACACAAAGTGCATTGTACCTGTTCAGTAGCTAGCTTATTATGTTGTCAAACTGTTAAAGCCTTAGATAGGGTTGAAAAAACACACGTATTGTTATATGTTTCCATGCACGTAATCACTTAGTATCCACGTGTATGTGGTAATTGGAGATACACAGGAAACAAATTATTTCAAATGTGTAAACAACTCTTTCTGAAAATATGGTTGGAGATGAAATAATGTAGAATTACAAATTTAAGAAAAGTATTAGATGAGTTTGGAAAAGAATAAGATTTGTGTGCTATATAATATGTTATCACTTAGCATACTTTAAGCCAAAAATAGTTTTACAGTGGCCTTGGCTATATCTCCAGCTGGGGAAGGTTGGGGTAAAAAAAAAAGAACTTATTTTTGCTTTTGTGGAACTAAAATAATAAGGTGCCTAAGACTTTTGAAGCTACACTAATGAGGAATTTCACAGAATCACAGAATCACAGAATCTCTAGGTTGGAAGAGACCTCAAGATCATCGAGTCCAACCTCTGACCTAACACTAACAGTCCCCACTAAACCATATCCCTAAGTTCTACATCTAAACGTCTTTTGAAGACTTCCAGGGATGGTGACTCAACCACCTCCCTGGGCAGCCTGTTCCAATGTCTAACAACCCTTTCAGTAAAGAAATTCTTCCTAACATCTAACCTAAAACTCCCCTGGCGCAACTTTAGCCCATTCCCCCTCGTCCTGTCACCAGGCACATGGGAGAACAGGCCAACCCCCATCTCGCTAGAGCCTCCTTTAATATACTTATACAGAGTGATAAGGTCACCCCTGAGCCTCCTTTTCTCTAGGCTGAACAAGCCCAGCTCCTTCAGCCGCTCCTCATAGGACTTGCTCTCCAGGCCCCTCACCAGCTTCGTCGCCCTTCTCTGGACCCGCTCAAGCACCTCGATGTCCTTCTTGTAGCGAGGGGCCCAGAACTGAACACAGTACTCGAGGTGCGGCCTCACCAGAGCCGAGTACAGGGGGACGATCACCTCCCTAGCCCTGCTGGTCACAGTGTTTCTGATACAAGCCAGGATGCCGTTGGCCTTCTTGGCCACCTGAGCACACTGCTGGCTCATATTCAGCCGACTGTCCACCATCACTCCCAGGTCCTTCTCTGCCTGGCAGCTCTCCAGCCATTCCTCTCCCAGCCTGTAGCTCTGCTTGGGGTTATTGCGCCCCAGGTGCAGGACCCGGCACTTGGCCTTGTTAAACTTCATACAGTTGACCTCAGCCCATCGGTGCAGCCTATCCAGATCCTCCTGCAGAGCCTTCCTACCCTCGAGCAGATCGACACACGCACCTAGCTTGGTGTCATCTGCAAACTTACTGAGGGTGCACTCAATGCCCTCATCCAGATCATTGATGAAGATGTTAAAGAGGACCGGCCCCAGTACCGAGCCCTGGGGGACGCCACTAGTGACTGGCCTCCAACTGGACTTGGCTCCATTTACCACAACTCTCTGGGCCCGGCTATCCAGCCAGTTTCTAACCCAACGAAGCGTGCGCCAGTCCAAGCCAAGAGCAGCCAGTTTCTTGAGGAGAATGCTGTGGGAAACGGTGTCAAAAGCCTTGCTGAAGTCAAGGTAGACCACATCCACAGCCTTTCCCTCGTCCACCCAGCGCGTCACTTTGTCGTAGAAGGAGATCAGGTTCGTCAAGCAGGATCTGCCTTCCATAAACCCATGCTGACTGGGCCTGATCGCCTGCTTGCCCTTCAAGTGCCGCATGATGACTCCCAAGAGGATCTGCTCCATGAGCTTCCCTGGTACTGAGGTCAAACTGACCGGCCTGTAGTTCCCCGGGTCTGCCCTCCGGCCCTTCTTGTAGATGGGCGTCACGTTTGCTAGCCGCCAGTCAGCTGGGACCTCCCCCGATAGCCAGGACTGCTGATAAATGATGGATAGGGGCTTGGCCAGCTCTCTCTCTCATTTGTCTGTAGACTGTGCAGAACTAGCAGAAATATGGGAGAACATCTGTGGTACCCTGTGGAAGGTAGCTGTTTTCAAACATAAAAAGCTAAATGCAAGGAATCTATTCTGTCTAGAGAAGACAGGATCAGAAGTAATGGCCTTAAATTTGAAAGGAGAAGATATATATATTACCTACAGTCTATGCTATGTATATATATATAGATAGATAGATACACACTCACATATATATGTATGGCAAGCAAAAATGAAGTTTTCAGATAGATCAACTGGGAAAGCTGCACGGTCTCCATAGGAGTTTAAGAAAGGTATGGACAGACTTCAGTCCAGAATAAGGGTGGGCATAGCTGAATTGCCTGAATGCAGAGGTATACACTGAAGAGGCTGTGGGTAACTTCAGGAAGTACCATGCTTAAAATATGTCTAATATGCATAGATACGGATTAGTGAAGAGTAACTTTGAATCTCTTTTTTTCAAGCATTGTTTTATATAATTATGGGGGGGGGAAAAGTCACAGAGCATTTCTGGAAAATTATCATGCTGGGGGTGCCTCTCTGCAGTGTCTGCATACTAATGCACACAGCACAGGGAATAAAAATAGTGAATTAAAGGTCTGTGTGTGGTTGCAATTCTGTCATGTTGTTGGGATCACGGAGATGTGGTGGGATAGCTCCCATAAGTGCAGTTCTGCAGCTGAGGGGTACAGGTTGTGCAGGAAAGCTAGGTATCTGGAGGCAAGTTGGGGAAGTCCTTTTTGTGAGAGGACACCCGGATGCATGGAGCTCTGCCTGGGCAAGGGTGAGGAGCCAACTGAGAGTTTATGGGTGAGGATTAAAGAGCAGACCACTGTGGGTGACATCGTAGTGGGTTTCTGCTATAGCCCACCTGACCAGGCAGCAAGTAGGGGAGGACTTCTACTGACAGCTAGAAGTAGCCTCACATTTGCAGACCCTGCTCCTCATGGGGGGCTTCAGCCATGCCTGATGTTGATGGAGGAACAACACAGAAGATCGTAAGCAATCTGGGAGGTTCCTGGAGGGCACTGATGACAAGTTTCTGACTGAATGGTCAGACACAACAAGGAGAGGTGCTCTTTATCACTTGGAGCCTTTCTTACATTACAGCCTTGAGTGCAAACTTCCAAGAACAGTTTGTTTTTTATTTGCACCTAGTATATGTTAAGGAAACCATATAATATTTTCTCATCCAGAAGTGTTGTATCATTGTCAGTTTTATTAGAACCAAGCTTCAGTATAGATGCATCTCTTTGAAATACTAAGCATCAAATTGTGGTATTTTGAACAAAGATGTATTTGTGAGTGACTAATTATCGGGGTGGCATTGGAGAACAGCCCCAGATTTCCACATAACTTTACATCAACCGGTGCCTCAGATGATGAACCTTTATGTAACTTTATCTCTCTATAAAAAGTTAGAGTGTTAGTTCACAGATAGGTACTGTCTGTTTTAGAAAAAAAAAAAAAAAAAACATGGGCTGGTTTTTGCAGTTCATTAACGTTATTCAGGGCGGACTGACCTTAACACCTGTTGAAATGAGAAATGTCATACATGAGTCAGTCCCCATAGTTTCCGGCAGAGAGCTAAAGAAACATCCGAAACACGTAAGCATCAGAATAGGAAAAAACAATTTGGTTATGCTTTCACCATTCTGCTTTTAATTGATCCTCAAACAGTAGAACAAGTTAGGTGTGATTGCGTTGAAGAATTAGAGAACTATTGTCTGGATTAAATGCTTGTGCTAGATGTTACCATAAGGTAAGAGCAGAATTAGTGTTTTCTTTGAATTGCGTTTCTGAAAGTTCAGAAATGCAATTCAATCAGCACAATCATTTGCTGAGATTTTCCGGTTTCAGTGAGGCTAAGTTTCACAGTAAAGCTGATTGCTATGGTCCTAATTCTGCAATAGGTTTGCCAAAGTTAGTCTGCACATATATTGATAACTTCCTTTGAGAGTATGTACAAGCATAAGTATAATCCTTTGGATTTACAGTTCTTCCATCTTGTACTTTTAAAGTGCATTGTTCATGACAGGGTGTGAAAGTGCCTCCAGTCAGTAAAAGGTTGTTACTGCTTTCTGTTTGATAGAATACTTGATCAATGTTAGATGAAAAAAAAGAGAAAGCAGGAAGGTGGCTTGTTTTGATGCTAAGAAATAAAGCAAATCCTGAAGAGAAAGATATGGTTATGGATACACAGTTCAAACTTCTTTCTAAGCTAAAATACTGCTTTAATCAAGTTAGCTCTTAAAAACAAACAAACAAAGCTATTGTGTACCAAAATTAATTGCATGTAAAGACTACACTGGAGCAGGGGAAAAGCTGCCCCTGACATGATTTATATTTTGTTGGTGAGAACAAGGGTTATGAGGGCTGCTTTATTCTGGATTTTCTGAAAGCACTAATAAAAGACTCGCTACTGCACAAATGCAGTGTAGGTTGGCACATGTGAGCAGAGTTGAAAAATAACATGATGCTTATAAGAAAGTTGACGAGGCTGTACACAGAACTGTTTATAATCCG